AGGCTGTGCCAGCCTCACACAGCGAGGCTGTGCCAGCGTCAAACAGCGAGGCTGTGCCAGCCTAACACAGCGAGGCTGTGACAGCGTCAAACAGCGAGGCTGTACCAGCGTCAAACAGCGAGGCTGTGCCAGCGTCAAACAGCGAGGCTGTGCCAGCGTCAAACAGCGAGGCTGTGCCAGCCTTAAACAGCTAGGCTGCTAGCCTCACACAGCGAGGCTGTGCCAGCGTCAAACAGCGAGGCTGTGCCAGCGTCAAACAGCGAGGCTGTGCCAGCGTCAAACAGCGAGGCTGTGCCAGCGTTCAGGGCCGTCGGAAGTACTTTCTGGTGGGGGGGGGCGAAATTTTTATGAAAAATTGTTGGGTTGCCTACCTTTAAGGGGCAACACCCAATACGGTTTAGACTTCTCTAATAGTGTTCCAAATCTAGCGAGCGAAGCGAGCTTAAAGCGAAAATTCACACAATTCTAGACTTTAACACAACTTTTGCCATTTTTAGAGCTTAATCACACGCTTTATTGGTGGGCGAAGCGAGCTAAACGGCAAAATAATGGAGGAAAATCAAGAAAACCTGCGAGCGAAGCGAGCAAGAAGCCAAAAATCAAAGAATTTGCGACTTTGCTATATTTTTTTCTCTATTTCGAGCTCAAAATGGCACTTTAGTGTCTGAAAGTGGGGGGGGCGATTCCCCCCCTACCAGATTTGGGGGGGGGGGCAAGGTGCCCCCCCCCCACCGCACCCCACTTCCGGCGCCCTTGAGATCTGTGAGGAGCCCGTTAGGTTAGGACTGGTTGGACCATTATGTTTGATTATAATATCTGTCGAGAGTAGGGTAACATCCGTCGCGAGTAGAGTAAGATCTATCCCGAGCCCGTTAGGTTTGGTTAGGATTGGTTGGACAGTTTAGATTTAGAATATTAAGTAGCCTTCCGTCGATGCATGGAAAACCCAACCCAACCAACCCGACAACGGCATCTGCCCTATGACGTCTGCCATTTGGGGGAGTACATTATCCCTAGGGACCAAGTACTCCCCTGCTGGTGGGGGAGTACACCATCCCTAGGGCCAATGTACTCCCCCCTCAAGAGAGGGGGAGTACCTTCACTCCCGGGGGAGTACACTATCCCTAGGGTCAATGTACTCCCCCCCTCTCGAGGTAGGGGAGTACACTATCCCCAGGGTTGGTGTACTCTCCCTAAGGGGGGAGTACATTGTCCCTAGGGATGGTGTACTGGGGAGTAACTCAATCCGGGGAGTAGGATATCCCGCTTACAGTGTAGCCGGCCGATGCTGTCAAAGGCCGGCGGCAGGGCACTGTGAAAACGTCACAGGAAATGTCCCCTCCCCCCTCTCACATGTGCACCCCTCACCCAGCCAGGCACAGCGGCCGAGCCAACAGCAGTGGCGCCTGCACTGTGGGGACTACACTGCGGTGTGGCTCCCCGGACTCGCACAGCCAGGGCGGCCAGGGTCCTGGGCCGTCCTGGGTATGCCGAGCCAGTCGTTCTGCGCGGCCAAATCGACGAAGTTGGCCGTCGGCGCCGTGCCTCCGTCTTGGGCCCCGGGGCCGCAGACTACTGCCCCACTGTCTGCGAGCCGAGGATGTGTCCAAGAGGCTGTGCCCGCCGTACCGCACAGTGTGTGTGATGTGCGCTGCAAGTCCAAACTTATTCCGCTGAAACTACAGCGAAGCGCCAGCGCGGTGGAATTCGTTTGAATGGGACCAACTATTTTCTTTCCCTGTGATCACTTTCACTTTTGTGCACAAGGGAGCGGTCCACGAAACCCTTGATGCAAAAACCGAGTGTGGTGGGGGAATGAGCCCCGCCACCGTCCCTGGGGCGGAGTAATACCCAGACGAGTGCAGTTTCCAGTCGACTCACTTCAAGTTCTCTTGGCCTCTGCAAACGTGGAGAATTCCACACTTGCATTGTGGAGACTGCAAATTCCACACCTCCGCCTCCCAAATGCGGCTTTCTCAACGCCTGCTCCACAGTGTGGGCGACCCCACGCATTGGATCGGCGACGAGCCGGTGACGTCATTCCCAGTGTAGTCTCGCCGAACAATGGCCCAGCGGCCGGGAGATGAAAAGGAAGGCAAACGTCCGGCCCACAAAGAAAGAAAGAAAGAAAGAAAGAGAAAGCTGGCGCCGCTCTCGGACCGATTCCGTAGCGTGTCGTCGCTCTCTCTCGCACACCTAACGACCTCCCCATCAGTGTGAGAGAGACAGAGTGAGGCCGCTGGACGGGCGGCGGGCCTTTTGTCGCGTAACGCTTGGCAGTGTCCTTTTTATTATAAACTTTGGCCCGCCTCCAGGGCCCCGCCCCCTCCCCCACCCGGAATGGCGTTGACAAGACAGCGCCGAACGGACGTGATGGAAATTTGAGACTTTGAATGACTCTTTCGTTCTTTTCCCTTTTTCCTCCTTTGGGAAATGAAGGGGGTGGGTAATTCCACGCCAGACCGTCGCACCACTGCAGTCGATAGCCACGGCATTGACCGAAACGAGAGGTCCCCTGCGTCGCCCTGACAATATTTTAGACTAACGCGGGTTTTGAAATTTGAAATTTTCGTCAACTTTTGATGTCGGAATCCTTGGTCAATGGGTGGCCTTAGACAATACTTGGGCCTAGACCTAGACGACAGTTGGTCGAGAACTCACTGCCCTTAACGTGTAGCTCCACTGTGGGGGCGGTGTACACAGGGGAAGTGGGTCGGACCAGCATGGCAGGGCCAGCGCGGCGGTGAGGTCGAGGACGGGAAATGAAAATAATGCGGGCAGGGCGGTGTGTGTGCCCCGTCCACCTTGATGACATTTGCGCCACCTGTGTGGTGCGGGCGAGCTGCGCAGAGCGCCGGGAGGGAAAGGTGTGTGTGTGTGTGTGTGTGTGTGTGTGTGTGTGTGTTCGTGTGTGTGCGCGCCCGCGCGTGCCGATAATGGCCCGCAGCACGTTGTGCGGAAGCTGCACAATTTAACGGTATTTGTGTGCCTGTTTTCTTCGTCCTCGATTCGTTGACAAAATCCTACATTGCACTGTTTGTAGCAGTGCGGTGGAACTGTGACCAACCGTAACCGTTTGAAGTTGTCAATAGGCCTTTAGAGTGCCGCTAATATTAGCCCATCACTGGAGGTGGCGTGCTTGTTGGCTCCACGCTTGTGCACCGCGTGTTGACTCTGAGCGCGGAGAGCGCGGCACAGTGGGCTGGGCCAGAAGACCAGCCGAGGCGGCCAAATTTCTAGACGCATTTTGAACTTCAGAGTCGCCCAACAGGACTCAAATTGAACGTGTGACCCACCCAATGGATTCCTCGTTCGGAGAGCAATCCATTGGTGGGGTCTCACGGTCGGATCTATTCCATTTAGCGACTCTGGAGCTCAAAACGCTTCCGGAACTTTGCCCGCCTCCGCCGGTCGTCTGGCCCACTGTGCGCGGGGAGCGGAGAGCGCCCTGGGCCTTCCCGCCGCGCAGCCGCGCCGGCGTGCGGCCTGCCTCGCAGGCGCCCTCTCCAACACACTTTTTAAAAAGGCCAAGTCCTCGCAAAACACGAGCCGCCTCAGTTGTCTTGTATATTCCTTCCAGGAAGTTTCGGCAGGTGTGCAGGCAAGTTTGTAATTCAAATGTCGCGCCTCTTCCTTGCCTTTTTTTTTACTTCCCCGAACGGCGGCCCAAGCAATCACGCATCTGCATGTAGATAGTTGACTATTTGCATGGGAAAGGGGGGAAGCGGGTGTAGCGGGCGAAGCGCAAAGCGGAGGGAGTCGCTTCGATCGGCCAATGGGCGCAGCCTCCGCCGAAACAGCTTGGCGTCTTTGAGATTGCCTCGTGATGCGAAAATCCGAACACGGCTAGACCAACAGCGTGTGCTCTCGTCGAGGTGGGAGCGCTGAGCTGCGTGCCCCCGCCCGGCCGGGCCGCCGGGCCATCGCCACTACAGTGTCGCGGAGCGCGGCGACACTTAGCCTGCAGCGTCCCCACACTGTCAAACCGACGACTCCACTCTGGAAACGCACTTTGGAAGTGCAGACTTTACAGTCTCCACACTTCATGTGTGGAGTTCTCCACGCGTGCATAGGGGTTCTGTGAGCTACTCCACACTTAAAGTGTGGACTGCAGGAAGTTTCGCAGCAGTAGACGCTTTGCCACCATCACCGTCATCGCGCTCTTGCTGGAGGAGGGATAACAAGCTTCGAAAACCACGACGCCTCTGGCCGTTCCGCGCAGCTGCCGCACTGCGGTCTCGAGCATTTGCAAGTCTCGGCGTTTACAGTGCAGGCGGAGCCGATGGAGAGCCGAACCACCAGGGTTAACTATTCTCTTGGCGAAACGCGCCGCCTTTGAGGAGATTACCCAAAGCTCACGCACTAGTGCACGCGCCCATACTCTCTCTCTCTCTCTCTCTCTCTCTCTCTCTCTCTCCCTCACTCTCTCTCACACACACACACACACACACGCACGCACGCACGCACGCGCGCGCGCGCGCGCACACACTCACTAAGACAGACAGAGATGTCACCGCTCAAACTGACCTCGCGCGCGGACGGGGTTCCGCGAGTCGCCGCGAGATGGCGCCGCGCGCGCCGAGCCGCCGCCCGCTCGCGCTGGCGACCTAGGTTAGCGTTGTAACTAGTTAGTAAGCAATTTTTCGAAATGGCAGCATGTGTTTCTCTGATGCCCGCTTATCTTCAGCTAGTTGGAGTCTGCGGCCCGTGCGGCTGCTATGGCTGTTCGGCTGAGATATTCTCCGAACGAGAAGAGCGCCTACACGGCTGATCCCCGAGGAGGACGAGCGCCTGCAACGGCCGTTGCCTCCGAAGGCGTAGCGCCCCCTCTGGAAGCTTCCCCGGTCGTTTCCATCACCTTCGCCGACAACGACAGCTACGACGGCGACATCGGAATCCTGGGCCCCTCAACCCGAGAGGCGACCGTGTCGACGGTCACACAGACTCAACACCCAAAACAAATGAGCGAGAATAACGTTATCGCGCTTTGTGTGTTGCAGCCATCCTCAACTCGCTGTGCAAGGAGTTCCTGTCCGTCAACGTGTCCGCCATCCTGTACCTGATGAACTACGAGAAGTACGGCCGCTCCACGGCGTCGGCGCAGTACTTCCTGCAGCTGGCCGGCTACCTGGGCATCCCCGTGATCGCCTGGAACGCCGACAACTCGGGCCTGGAGAGGGTGAGTCCGAGGCCAGCGGAACGCTGTCGAGCCAAATGCGGAGTATTTCTCCTCCACCTTGGGACGCGTGGAGCTTGCAGTGTCACCGCTTTAAGTGTGGAGTAGCTCTTGGCGTGGTGCAAACTCTGCACTTCCAAGTGCGGACACTGCAAACTCCACACCACTGCAAAGCCAGCGGTCAGTTTGCCCACCTCAAAATTGGTTAGCCGTTATTGAATGCCAAAAACTGACAAGCTTGGCCCGGAAATACTCCCTAGCTTGCCAAAATTCGGCAAGCTTACGAGGATTTTAGGCGGTCAAAGCTTGCTAAATCTTGGCATTCAAAACGGCTTACGAACTTTGTGGTAAAGCAAACTCACCGCTGGCTTTTGCAGTGACCTTTACCCTCCACGCTTGGTTTTTCAGTGAAGCAAAAAGAACGTCAAACAATGTGCCGCGTGGAACAAAAAAAGTGGGGCGGCCTTGGCTTGGGTCGCTCTGTCTGTGTTCCTCCGCACCGATACGGCGATACGCGTCGCCCTCCGCGAGATGCAGCCGGGCGTGCCTCGGGGAGCACGTTGTTTGGTTCAAACATGGGTAAAGCTGAGGCGCACGGTTGCGAGCGCTCCCCTTTCCACAACCCCTTTCAAAAACAACAACAATACACTAGTGAACAGGCGGAACGTCTCAGTATCAAAGCCCTATTCTCTACAACCAAGGAGTGAAGAACTCCACACTTCCTGGAGCGATTCTGCACGATGGGACCAGTGGAGTTTGTAGTCTCCACGCATCAAGTGTGGAGTCGCTCACAAAAGTCTCTGCGCATGGCGCAAACGTGGAGAACTCCCGCACTTGAAGTGTGGCGACTGAAAAGTTCACCCATCCGAATGCGATGTGCGAATTCCACACCTCTGCTGCCTTCAAGTGCACACTACATGTTCTTGTCCAAATTTTGTACGAGACTTTACAGTTTTTTGTGCGAATGAACTTTTCGTACAAATAAGTACGCGATTTTGTACAAAAAAGAGGAAATATGAGCAGTTTTTCGCACAAAATTTGAACGAAAAGTTCGTGTGCACGAAAAAAATGTGATGTCTCGTACAAAATTGTACATAGCATTTAGTGTGTGTGTGGAGTCCTCCACACGTGGTTTCACAGTGTAGCCACGCGGCGGCGGCGTGAGCCGCAGCATAGACCGGGCGGCAGGGAGGGACGCGTTGCACTGGAACTGAGCGAATTTAAGAGACCTTCCGCCTTCACGCCTTTACGAGTGGAGTAAACATAAGGACATGCAAGGCCGTATCGCCGTGGTGCAGCCCTGGCCATGGCCATGGCGGCGCTACACTGGGGGAAGTTATGAAGCTCTTAAAGACGACGCCCTGAGTGAAGAAGGACTGTGCAGCATAACTTCCGGCTGACAGTGCGAACTAATGAACTTTTCTGCCCAAGCACTGCGCCTCGGCTCGGTCGTATAAAAACCCTCTCAGGAAAGGAATAAGCCATTTGGAAAAGAAATGATGTATCTCTTTAATGGGCTGCGGTCCATTTCGTTTTTTTTGCCGCGTTTCTTTTGCCGGTTTGACTCCTTGGAACTGCGTTTGACGCGGCCCATTGGTCTTGGCTGATGTGTTGGAATCGACACAGTGAGCGCCGCTGCACTGTAAAGACCGGTGGGGCTGGCCAAAACTCTGGACGCGTTTTGAGCTTTTAGTGCGATGGTGGTGGCGTAGCGGCAGGGGGCCTGGCGGCGTGTGTGTGCGTCGCGGTGCCTCGCCACTGGCCCGCCAGCTGATTCCCAACTCTGGGATGTGCGGTGAATGGAAGAGGGGGCCGGGGGGGGGGGGGGGGGGGGGGGTCCCCGCCGCAGGGTGGCCGCAGCAAGCACGCCAATTGCCACACAAAAGGGTTTCGCGCGCGCGCGCGAACAACCGAATGTTTGGCGCGTTGAAATACACCGCGCTGCGGGCCGCCCCGAATGTTTGACAAAAACTTTCGGGGCAGATGAGCACGGCGGCTCGGCCAACAGCAGCCCGTCCTTTGGCGGTGACTGCTGTCTGAAACCAACCAACTCTGCACTGGTACAGACGAGGTTTCACAGTGCGGGCGCGCACCGTCGGGAAGCTTCCCCTCCGTCGCGATGCACCGCCACCACCACCGCCGGGACTAACGAGGTCGTCAAGCACACCGTAAAATTCGCTGCAGGAAGAAAAGTGTCCGCGCTCGCAATTAATGCGCAGTGTTTTCCTCCCTCACCCCGAATCTGCGCTCGCGGCCTCCCCAAAACGCGGCCATCGCCACAGAGGGACAAAACGCCGCGCGGGACCAGCTAATTGCTTCGCCGAATGCGTGGCGCTCCGCTCGCCCTTTGGCCGGACTTCCTGTTCGAGGCGGCCTAATTTCGCGTTGGTGGCAGAGCCCCGCCGCCGCGGTGGCCGCGCTGGAGGCCGTGGTCAAGGCCGTGGTCAAGGCCGTGGTCAGCGACGTGGGGCCGACCTCACACTCGCAATGCGGAGGCGTGGAATTTGCAGACTCCGTACTCAGGAGTGCAGAGTTGCAGTATCCCTGTTTCAAATGCGGAGTTCTCCACGCCAAGAGGTAGGGGCTCCGTGAGCTACTCCAAAATTGCAGTGTGCAGACTGCAAAATCCACGCGTTCAGGTTTGGAGAAATACTCCGGAGTTCCGTGGTCGAGGCCGTGGTCGAGGCCGTGGTCGAGGCCGTGGTCGAGGCCGTGGTCGAGGCCGTGGTCGAGGCCGTGGTCGAGGCCGTGGTCGAGGCCGTGGTCGAGGCCGTGGTCGAGGCCCTGGTCGAGGCCGTGGTCGAGGCCCTGGTCGAGGCCGTGGAGGCTGGCAGGCTGGTCTGCAGCACGCGAGACAGCCGTTGCGGCCTGGCCTGACTGCCTTTGTGCCGCGGTGCGGTCGAGGCGCGAGGCAGGCCTCGGAGGCCGTGTCCGTCCCCCACATGCTGCCCGCCGCGCCGGCACGCTTTCGACACTGTTTCTCCCGCAAAGGCAGCCTCTCTCCTCGGCGGGAATATTTATAACCGCCATAGCTGTCATGGGGCCCGGGCGGCCAGGCGGGGTTCTGGCGGCACTGCCGCGGCTGGGTCGGGCCGCTCGGGCATGCAGGGCACAGGCGCGGCCGCCCCGCCCCACATTGGGGCGTGCGCCGGCCTCGGCCCGCCGCGGCCTATGGATGGGGTAAGGGGTAAGTTACTGGTGGCGCTGCGGTGGCCGCGGTGGCAGTTCATGCCGCCCCCTCCCCACCCCCCACTAGAGATGCAAATTTTCCAGAAACTTTCAAAGGGTCGGAAAAAAACCGGAAAAGTTGGAAAAAAACCCAGAAAATTTGGAAAAAAAGGAAAAATAGGAAAATTTAGTTTTTAGGCACTATGAACATGAAACCTACTACTTTTGTGCTTTGTTACAACTTAACTTATATTGACAACCCGAGATTCACAACAGCAAGCTCAAAAAAACGCACGAGAAGGAATCATAACAGGGTATAAGTAGTATGAGTGCACTGAGAATCGTATTCACATAGGGATAAAGGTATGCTTTTAGCCTACTTTCAGGCGAAATGCCTGACTTTTTGCCTACTTTTCAGGCTGAATCTTTCCAATTTTTCCGAGGCCAGGAAAAAAAACGGAAAAAAACACTGTTTTTTTCCAATGTTTCCGGAAACTTTCCGGGCATTTTCAACCCTACCCCCCACGTAGGCTTATCCGCGCGGCGCGGTTTCTGGCGCGAAGGCCTCAGCGCGGCAGATTACGCCGCGTTGGCACGAAATGAGTTGTTGATGCCCTGAGCCCTGAGCCTGGGCGGCGCAGCGTCGAGCGTGCTCCTCCCTCGCCGCGCTGCACCGCCGTCAAACCCACTGCCTGCTATACTACCTACCGTGACGGCACTCGCGCCTTCAGCCCATCGCCTGGCGATGATACGGCCAAGGAAGTACACTGTAAGTGTGGAGAACGCCACGCTGCCTGGTGCAGAGTGATTTCGAGTAAGTGGAGCAGCTCTCCACGTTCGGTTTGACTCGACGGAGCGAGCGGAGCGCTCTGCACAGCGAAATCATCCGAGTGGTGCAGTGACATTGCGTCGCTGCAGGTGAGCGACGCCGGTTCTAATTACTGTCAATGATGAAGCAATTTCCCCCTCCCCTTCCCCTTTCCCCGCCCTGCTTGTGGATGCGGCAAAACGCCCCGTCCCGCATCAGCGTGATGGGATAATTTGGCTGGATGCGCGCGCGTTGAGGCTCGAAATAACTCCGCAGCACCGAGCAGCACCGCGCAGCACCGAACAACGAGGAATGGTCCCGGGGAGGCGCTCCGTTCCATCCCCGGCGTTTCCATCACTACACTGTCAAAATGAGTTGTCGCACTTCATGACAAAGTAGTAGATTTTATTTTCATCTCTTTCAAAAACAATTACAATTTCATGACATTTTCATCACAAATTGATATCCTGAAAGGTCCTAGGCTTACTGCGTGACAACAATGATGGTTTGATGACATTCCCGTATGGAAAAAAATAACAGGAAAAGTAGCGATATACATCGGCAACTTTGGCCCGTCCCGTACATTAAGAAATGTGCGTATTTTCGCCTATGTTTAACCGTAACGGGATTGGAACCTGAGTCTGGGGTCAAAATACATGTTACTTTCGTCATCAGCACCCCACAAAAACATCAGAAACAATGCAAAATCTCGAATAGATCGACAAATGAAAGGGTCTGATAGCTTTTTGTTTTGTGCAAAATGAACTGTTTGTACAAATTTCTTCGTGGAGAAATGTGGGCAGTTTTTCGTCTCGTAGAAAATGATACAATAACGTGGGCTGTGCTTGCAGAGGGCGTCGCAGTCCAGCCTGCAGCTGCAGCTGGCGCCGTCCCTGGAGCACCAGACGGCCGCCATGCTGTCCATCCTGGAGCGCTACAAGTGGCACCAGTTCTCCATCGTCACGTCGCAGATCGCCGGCCACGACGACTTCATCCAGGCCGTGCGCGAGCGCATCACCGAGATGCAGGACCGCTTCAAGTGAGTACATCACACTTGCAAGTTTTGCCGCCCCCGCACTTCAAAGCTTCGAAGTGCAGAGTTCTCTAGCATGCCAAGAGATAGGTGTCTCTGCGAGTCCAAGTGTGGAGAAATAGTCCACCACACGGTAAAAACACTGACCGGGTTTTCCAGGCCCACCCTGGAAAATGAGGCCTGGTAAACCCGGACATGAGGTGCGGAGCTCTGCTCACAAGGAGGTGCGTGGAGCTCGCACACTCGCTTTCACAGTGAGTACCTACAGTGCCGAGAGGGACCGCTTGGAGTGTTTACAGCGCCGAGATGCGTCAAACGGAGTCGCACTCACCGTCTCGCAGGCTTTGTGGGGAGGGGGGCGGTTCCTCGCTCGGTTGCGACCGCGAATCCAATCAGACCTCTCGGAGAGGGAGGTCCACAAAGGACTGCACCTTGCGCTTGCCTGCGCTGCGCGCCACGCCAGGGTGCCTCCTCGCTCTGTCTCGCTCCGTCTCGCTCTGTCTTCCGGGCGGCCGCATGAAAAGATGATGCGCTTCCCCGGCGGTGCTGAGGGGCGAGGACACGGCCGGTACCAGCCGCCCGAAGTTTCGGCGTCAAACTCTCGGCACGCTGGGCTGCGCTGGGGAGGGGAGAGTATAAACTCTTGGAGCCGGACGGACGGAGGCCTTCGCGCCGATGGGTTACGTTCTAGCGCTGCTACAGGTTGGCTCGACTGGCGTTTGAGAAGTCCTGTTGCCATTTCACTTCCTCCGTTGCTCCTACACTATGAATGGACTTTCGAAGTAACTTCGCATAACACGAAGGGCATGGCTCAAGCATAACACGAACGCAGTGTCTCTTCGTATCGCGAATATTTCTGTGTCTTACAATGAAAATTCTGAACACATGTCGTCTAGTCTTACCGAGAAATTTCGCTTCGAAACATGCTTGCGCATTCACTGTACCGTAACTCAAATTTCATTGTAAGACACCGAAGAGTGCACCAACACAATTGAGTTCATGGGCCCATCGCCGCTTGGCAGGAGCTTTGCGCAGACTTTCGAAGAGTGTACGAAGCACTCGCCGAACCGTCGCCGAGTCCCTGTCTTCTCTCCTCTCGGGCGCGCGGACGGAGGAATGTTGCTGGCAGTGCTATGGCCGGCCAGGCATCGCCCGCATGCCGGACACTGGTCCGACTCCAGTCAGTCAGTCTGCCCCGCCGCGGCGCGCCGCCCTCTGGAGCTGGAGGCTGTCCCTCTCCCTCCAGCCCTCCAGCCCTCCAGCCGGCATGGCTGGAATGCCAGAGTTGGTGCAGCGGCCAGAACGGCGCACGAATATATATAAGAAGATCGCGCCGCGAGCACAGCGAGGCGGGGCGGTGGCCTGTACACTGTACAGTGCGTCTTCAAAGGCCGCCCGGGGAAGCGTGCCACACGTGGTTGTCATTTTAAATCCCGTCCCTGGGAGGGGCGGAGCGGGCTTGCGTGAAGCCGCACAGCACGTGTGTGGGCCGCCGGGAGCAGGCGGACTCTTTGCGACGTGTGTGTGTGTGTGTGTGTGTGTGTGTGTGTGTGTGTGTGTGTTTATGAGAGAGACAGAGATACAGAGAGGGGGGAGTATGGGCGTGTGTGTGTGTGTGTGTGTGTGTGTGTGTGTGGCACGAATTATCCCGCCCCCTTTCCTCCTCCGGCCTACTCTCATTAAGAACGACGAGAGTCTTGTCGGCGTTGCGCGCTGGGCGGCGCTTGGCGGCGGTGCTCGGCCTCGGCCGACCGCGACGCTTCACTGTAAGTTTGTCTTTCGTTTCGCGCCATAATTGCCGCATTAACCACGGAGCGGCGCGCCCCTGGACGAGAATCCGAGTTTGGCGGGAAGACCCTTTTATTTCTGTCTGCGCGCCCACAGTTTACAAGGCCGCTCAGCGCCGGCGACATTATTGTTCGTCTGCCTCTCGTCCTCCCACCCCTCTCCCTCGGCGGCGACAGTGTTGTTCCACTGGAAAAAGGGGGAGGGGGAGTAGAATCCATACGCCGACTGGCGGGCAGCACCCTGAGGGCAGCGCTCCCCCGCTACTACTGTCTCTGTCAGGAACATTCCCCCTCCCCTCCCCCCTTTTTCCCGAACTGGTGACGGGGTTGCAGACGCACCCACACTCACTGACACATTCGAACACACACACACAAACACGCGCGCGCGCGTAGACGCCGATTGGGGGGGAGGGGAGAGAGAGAGAGAGAGAGAGAGAGAGGGAGGGGAGGGGAAAGAGGAGGAGAGATGGGGGTGAGAGAGAGGCACGTTCGTGTCGTTGTTTCTGTCCCAACGCGCTCTTCCCCCAGACTGACCCCCCCTAGGCCCTCCCCGGGGCGTAGGCAGCAGCGCAGCAGCGTCCGCGGGTCCACCCCGCCCCCTTCCAGTGCATCAGTGTTTGGCTGGCGGCCGGGAGGGGGGGGGGGCGAGTGCAACGTTTGCGGCAGGGCAACAGTTCGTGCGCCGCCCGCAGGCCATGCTGGTGGGTTTGGCAGTGCCAGCCCCGCGGCCTCGCGTCTCGTTAATTTCGTTTCGCCCAAAAGTTGTAATTGACACCAGTTTATTCGCCAAAGGAACAACAAGCGTGTTATTGGCGGAGTTTATAATTGATATGCTGGCGGTGGGTGGGGCACCTCTCTCTCTCGTTGCCTCGCAGTGTGGCGGCCAGGATGACGTCAGATGACGTCAAGGCTCGTCATCGTCAGCTTGGCGCTAACGACACTTTTGCTCAACTTCCCGGGAGTTGCGTCGGAAGGCAGCCGGCTTGCCGCTCCCTTCCTTAAAACGCTTTCACTATATTTTTCTCCCTCCAAGCTTGGGGGGAAAATGAGTAAGCAAGAACATGGAGGGGTCGCGCCTGCCAGCACTGCAAATCGTGGAGAGTTTGGACAACAAGTCACATGAAATGAGCGTGTCACATTCGTTGGAATACGGACTCACGTTCCGACCAAAGTGACAGCACTGTGGGATGCACGCATGCCACAGAAATTATGGGGGGAGACTCGTCTTTAACACAAAAATTTTAACAAATTTCAGGCTTAAATAAAAAATGTTTCCAATAGATTTGAAGGTTAGTGGGGTTTTCCAATAAAAAGCTGGTTCTTTAATCTTGATTTTGAAAAAAAAAGTTTGTCTCTAGGCCCTATGACCTAGAATCTGTGATCTTTCTACTAAAACACTAAAATGCGCCAAAAATTCACTGCGCGCATGATTTTTGGAGAATGCGGCATCATATCATAAATGTCTTTGTTCCTCCCTCAAGAAGACTCCTGGCACTCTAGATTGAACTAGAATTATTGAAATACCTCGTTCCTAAGTGCCTGAAATTTACATTTTTAAGTGTATTAAAAAAAGCCTTTAAATTTAGACATTTCAATAATTTTTATCGGGCACTTCTACTGGGCCGATTGAAGATATCCTAGTTCAGAGTGACGGTCTTATAGAGGCCAAACATAGGAAAAATTATTGGGTCGAAACAATCAACGGTCTGGCTCAAATCGTGCGCGCAAGACCCAAAATATTGCAATTGAGTAAAATGGCTTCAAAGTTCGAACGGTCTAACCTATCCTGTGGAAAAATAATTACAAAATGTCACCCTATGGCCAAACGGTTTTGAAATTCAATACCAGCCAGCCACCAATTTCAAGGGTTTAACACAAAGAATTCGAAAAACTGAAAAACGAAAATCTGATTTTTTGACGTAGAATGACGAGTCTCCCCCCTTATGCAGCCCAGCGGAGCGAAGCGAAGCGGCCGAAGCGGCCGCAACGTTTCTCATCACGCCTGCACTGCAAATCCAAGTGTGGGACAGTCTCACACTGTTCGGGCCAGAAATGTGTCACGCTTGGAAGTGTGAGGCACGTTTGCCGCCGCGCCCCGTGGCGTTGAATCACAGGGAAACATTGGGCGGCATTATACGGACGTTGCGATCCACCGCGTTCCGCTCGGCTGCCTGACTGCCTCGCTGCCGCTCCCCACAGGCGCTTTCTGCAAGACGCCCGCTCATCACATCGCCCGCCTCCCCGCCGGGGACCCCGGGGCGCACCAGCGGGGCCGGGAGAGGACGGGAGAGGCCCGAGGAGGCCCCACAAGGTCGCAGAAAAGAGCCGCCACCGCCGCAGCGCCGACACGGCCAGCACCGACACGGCCAGCACCGACACGGCCAGCACCGACACGGCCAGCACCGACACGGCCAGCACCGACACGGCCAGCACCGACACGGCCAGCACCGACACGGCCAGCACCGACACGGCCAGCACCGACACGGCCAGCACCGACACGGCCAGCACCGACACGGCCAGCACCGACACGGCCAGCACCGACACGGCCAGCACCGACACGGCCAGCACCGACACGGCCAGCACCGACACGGCCAGCACCGCCTCCAGCGCCGCCACCGCGGGGCGCGCCCCTCCGGACGACAGTCTCCGGACACGGCTTGCTGGCCTTGACAACAACACACGGGGCGGCGCGCGGCAGCGTTCCGCCGTCTTCTCGCTAAAACGCAATTCAACGAGTTTTGAATTAATTATGTGGCCTAAGTACGAGGTCGTTACCTAAAGGGTGTGCAAGCCTCCTTCGCTAAACTGAGTTAGCGTCGCGTCCTGCCGGCGGCGGGGCGGGGCGGGGCCGCTGGCGTGTCGGGGTGCGGCGATGCTTGGCAGGGCGTAGCGGGGCGGGGCGGGGTGGGGCGGGGCGGGGCGAAGCGGGGCGGGGTGGGGCGGGGTGGGGCGGGGCGGGGCGTGGCAAAAGCATTATTGGAATGTACCGCGGGGGCGGGCGGCGTCGGTCGTGGCCTTGGAGCCCGGGGGCCGGGCTGCAGGGCCGCGCGACGCGAGTGGGGAGAAAACTACGGATAGTGTTGGTTGGCGTGAAGTTTGGGAAATGCGGCGGCTGGGGGGAGGAGAGAATTCGGTGGGGCGAGAAGCCCAACACGGAAAACAAAACAAACTTTATTTATGTACTGGCTCCGTGTGTGTGTCCATTAGGCTCCCTCCCCC